ACATATTATTTAATTGAAATAGCAACAACACTGTTACACTATAAAACTATCTTGGTAAAAAGTACCATTTATTTTGTCAACAAAACTGTTAGATTATTAGTTCAAAGAGTCAACTAATATCTTTCAACGCGACGACTAATCTGTCTTTGAGTGGAATTTATTCGTAAATACTTTGGTTAATGAAGTTATTTTAATGTATTAAATTTAGTAATTTAATATTACATATTAAATATTTTGCAACAATTACATATTAAATTTTAAAAATTTACAAACAAATGATGTGTTTTGGGAAATGCTAGGATAAAATTAAAAAGGTAGCCTTTTTATACCGTGTGTTATGTCTAGTAAAAGATCACTTATTTTGATACTTGATCAATCCATCAAATTGTCTTAATAATAGGACTTTTTTGTAGGATAGGTTCAACAAATAGAGTAAATATACACCTTTTAAAAAAATAACTACTAAGTGAAATAGATTATATGAATTTATTGATTTTATCATCATCATTATACATAGTTCAAATTATATTTTTTTTTTATCTATCATCTATTACGGATGAACGTAAAGAAAATGGATTACTTAACAAAAATAAAAAATTCGAATGACAACATAATAGTTATAACAATCAAACCTTCGACCAGATGTGATTGCGTTGGAAGTTTATGTTGGGTTTCGGGTAGAAAAACGCAGCGGAATAAACGAAAAATTTACTACCCAAAAGTAAACAATCGGATCTGAGGTTCATATTATAAACGAAATTACAAGACATAAGAGGGACTTACATAGTAATCTTAATCAAGGATGTCAGACAGTCCGAGAAAACGATCCTGAGCTCTACCGGTATCCACACGCACGTGACTGGATCGGCCGCAGGGAACGTGCTAGCGTTCTCTTCTTTCTTCCTCTCTACTCTAGGTTTGAGAAGTGAATTTTAACTCTTAAAATTCGTGGGTCTATATGGCCCTATTTATAAGAGGAGTAAAGAAGGGGTTTTATGGCTAATAAAACCCTTAAAGAGGCCCTAGCCCAATACCATTCGAAAACCTATTTCGAATTGGGCTAATCAAGCTATTTTAATGTTATTAACAAACATTAATGATCCAAATCACTTAGGTGTGTGACCCTGTAGGTTTATATATTATTGGTAGTGGGCTAGAAATTAATTCGAGCCTCACAAATCATAAGCGGCCTCTAGCAAGGCATTATGACTATCCAAAAATATATAAATGTCAATTAAATCTGACATAACCTTTTAATGATTAATTTGTGCTAACAATTCTCTTTTGTCAAACGATATCTTAATTGAGACAAGGTTAGGTCGTGTCATCCTTGTTATTCTCAATTAATATTTCTTGATTACCAAGTAAGATTAATCTTGATCAAATGACACCTCATTTGAGCATGGCCATGCTAATTAATCTTACTTGTCAAGGGGCCCAATAGATATCTTTCTCTCGATGTACAAGAGTGACAAAAACTATCTTGATAATTCACATACTACTACATGGTTCATAATATGTACAATCACCACCTTTATAATTACCCAGTTAAAGATAACATTTAATGGTGTTAATACATATTAATTCTCATGCTAGTAACCATGATTATCTCAAGTATAAGAATATAGCACCTCATCATTATTGAGGACAACACTGATGACATATAACCTAGCAGTGTCCTCAAGTTGGGTCTGTCCAATGAACTTGTTCCCTAACAAGCATCTATGTTATTAACTTGATATCTCTATACCCATGACTAGTGGAATATAGCCATCAGTTAATCCACATACTGGTCTATTAATTATTAATGTCCCAAATTAATAATATTAGACCAGGGACAATAAGAATATTATGTTTATTTTAAAGTGTAGCATTCCACAATTAAGTCACATACTTAATTAGCTACTAAACAGAATATTCAGGGACTAAATATTAATAAAGAAAACTCACAATAATAATTAACATAAAATGAGTTTGCAACTTTATTAATTAATGAGCATTAAATATTTATTGATAAATCATAAACTATGATTGTCCTAGGGCATATTTCCAACAGTCTCCCACTTGCACTAGGACCAATCGTGAACAAAACGAATGTCTAATGCACTAGTATGACGTTCATGCTTTGCTTGTGGTAGTGGCTTGGTGAGCGGGTCAGCCACATTTGAATCTGTTGGTACTTTGCATATCTTGACGTCACCTCTATTGACTATTTCTCGAATGAGATGATAGCGTCTGAGTACATGCTTTGATTTCTGGTGCGATCTAGGTTCCTTGGCTTGTGCAATGGCTCCATTGTTATCACAATACAAGTCCATTGGTCCAACAATGCTAGGAACCACACCGAGCTCAATGATGAATTTTCTTATCCATACCGCTTCTTTTGCTGCTTCTGAAGCAGCAATGTACTCAGCTTCTGTTGTAGAATCAGCCACCGTGTCTTGTTTAGAACTCTTCCAGCTCACTGCCCCGCCATTGAGGGAAAACACAAATCCTGACTGCGATCTAAAATCATCCTTATCGGATTGGAACCCAGCATCTGTGTAACCATTTACAATGAGCTGATCTTCACCACCATAGACCAAGAATACATCCTTAGTTCTTCTCAAGTACTTTAGAATATTCTTGACTGCTATCCAGTGACTATCACCTGGATCTGACTGGTATCTACTAGTCATGCTTAGAGCGCAAGCTACATCAGGGCGAGTACATAACATAGCATACATGATAGAACCTATAGCAGAAGCATAAGGGACTCTATTCATCCGATCTCGCTCATCTTGTGTTTGTGGACACTGAGTCTTGCTGAGATATGTGCCATGTGACATAGGCAAGAATCCTCTCTTGGAATCTTGCATATTGAACCTATGCAGGACCTTGTCAATGTAGTTACTTTGACTTAGTCCTATTAGTTTTCTAGATCTATCTCTATAGATCTTGATCCCTAACACATAGGATGCATCACCCAAGTCTTTCATTGAGAAACACTTTCCAAGCCAAGCCTTTACAGACGAAAGCATTGGAGCATCATTCCCAATGAGAAGTATGTCATCTACATATAGGACTAGGAAAGTGATTGCACTCCCACTCAATTTCTTGTAAACACAAGGTTCCTCTTCATTTTGATTGAAACCAAACTCTTTGATTGCAGCATCAAAACGAAGATTCCAACTCCGAGATGCTTGCTTCAGACCATAAATTGATCTTTTAAGCTTGCATACCTTCCCAGCATTACTTGGATGTTCAAAACCCTCAGGTTGTATCATATACACGTCCTCTTCTAGATTTGCATTTAGGAAAGCAGTTTTGACATCCATTTTCCAAATCTCATAATCAAAATGAGCGGCAATTGCTAAGAGAATCCGAATTGATTTAAGCATGGCAACTGGCGAGAATGTTTCATCATAGTCTATACCATGAATTTGTTTGTAACCTTTCGCCACTAAACGTGCTTTATACACATCTATATTGCCATCTTTATCCAATTTCTTTTTGTAGATCCATTTGCACCCAATGGTTCTACAACCATCAGGTAGATCAACCAAGTCCCAGACTTGATTATCAGCCATGGATCTCATTTCGGATTTCATGGCTTCTAGCCAACTATCGGAGTGATGGCTCGTTATTGCTTCTTGGTAGGTCAAAGGCTCATCTTCGTCAATCAATAATACGTCGCGATGCTCAGTTAAGATAAACATGTATCTAACCGGTTCGTTACGTACCCTACATGACCTCCTTGGAGCGAGTGTTATCTCAGACGTATCCACAACAACTTGTGGCTGAGGTTGTGGGACCACTTGCATAGTCTGACTATCTTGATCTTCTTGAACTTCTTCAAGCTGAATTTTACTCCCACTGGTTCTTTCAGAAAGAAATTCTCTTTCTAAGAAAATACCATTACGAGCAACAAACACTTTGTTCTCTGATGGGTTGTAAAAGTAATATCCTTTTGTTTCCTTAGGATAACCCACAAATAAACACTTATCTGATTTGGGTTCAAGTTTATTTGAAAGTAAACGTTTTACATAAACTTGACAACCCCAAATCTTCACAAAAGCTAGACTAGGAACCTTTCCTGTCCATATCTCATATGGTGTTCTTTCTGTAGCCTTTGTTGGAGCCCTATTGAGTATGAATGCAGCGGTTTCAAGAGCGTAACCCCAGAAAGAGATTGGTAGTTCAGCGAGACTCATCATGGAACGGACCATGTCTAACAAGGTCCGATTTCTCCGTTCGGACACACCATTCCATTGTGGTGTACCTGGCGGAGTGAGTTGTGAAACAATTCCACATCCTCTTAGATGATCACTAAATTCCTGGCTCAAATATTCACCACCTCGATCTGATCGAATGGCCTTAATTGTTTTGCCAAGTTGATTCTGAACTTCATTCTGGAATTCTTTGAACTTTTCAAAAGCTTCATGTTTATGCTTCATTAGGTACACATAACCAAACCTACTGAAGTCATCAGTGAATGTTATGAAGTACTGAAAACCTCCCCTGGCCATTGTTGACATTGGGCCACATACATCCGAGTGTATGAGGTCCAATAAACCGTGAACTCTTTCACCTTTACCAGTAAATGGTGACTTGGCCATTTTACCCAATAAACAAGATTCACACTCCTCGATTGATTCAAAATCAAAAGAGTCAAGAAATCCACTAGAATGGAGTCTTTTAATGCGCTTCTCATTTATATGGCCTAGTCTACAATGCCAAAGGTATGTTGGGTTTGAGTCGTTAGATTTAAACCTTTTTGTATTTATGTGATAGATGGGCATTTCAAGGTTTAGAACATAAAGTCCATTTATGAGACTAGCACTACCATAAAAGATCTCATTAAAATAAATAGAACAAATGTTGTTCTTTATTATAAAATGAAATCCTTTCTTGTCCAAACAAGAAACAGAAATAATATTCCTGCTAATGGCAGGTACATGATAACAATTATCAAGTTCTAAAACTAAGCCCGTGGGCAAATTCAAAGTAAATGTTCCTATTGCTAATGCTGCAACTTTTTCTCCGTTGCCTACTCGTAGGTCAACTTCACCTTTAGCCAGCCTTCTACTCCTTGTTAGTCCCTGCACATTTGAACAAATGTGAGAACCACAACCGGTATCCAATACCCATGAAGTAGTGGTAGTAACATTTACTTCTATCACATAGATACCTGAATTGGAAGCATCACCATGCCCCTTCCTTTTCAGTTCCTCCAAATACGCCTTGCAATTCCGCTTCCAATGACCAGTTTTGTTGCAGTGGAAACATTTTTGCTCTTCTTTAGAAGACGAGCTAGCAACCGATTTGCTTTTACCCGAGTTCTTAACCAGGGTTTTGGATTTCTTTTTTCCACCAACCTTGCCATTACCATGCTTCTTGAATCCCTTCCCCTTTTTGACCATCAAAATGTCACTCCGATTTTTCTTGATGTTTTGCTCAGCAGAGTTGAGCATTCCATGCAATTCGGTTAAGGTCTTCTCAAGACCATGCATATTATAGTTCATGATGAACTGGTCATATGCCGGAGTGAGTGATGCGAGAATCACATCAGTAGCCAACTCTTGACTAATTGGAGATCCAAGTCTTTCCAGGTGATCCCTAAGCCCAATCATCTTGAGCACGTGAGGTCCAACTGGGTTTCCATCAGTAAGCCTTGTGTGAAACAAAGCTTTGGTCGTCTCGAACCTTTCGATCCGTGCTTGTTTCTGAAACAAGTTCTTGAGTTCATTAGAGATGTCATGTGCACGACGATTCAGAAACTGTTTCTGAAGATTAGCTTCCATGATAGTTAACATCAGACAAGTGACATCAACTTCATCATGGACATGCCTTTCATAAGCATCTCTAATGGCTCTAGCAGCATTGGTCGCTGGTTCAGCAGGAATTGGTTGGTCAAGGACATATTCTTTACGCTCTTGTTTGAGAACGATTCTCAGATTCCTATCCCAGTCCATGTAATTTGTTCCATTAAGTTTTTCCTTCTCAAGGATAGATCGCAGTGAAAAAGTTGTGTTGGCGGCCATATTTACTACAACAAATAATGCAAAGAATTTTAAATAATGCTCAAAAATAACTCCCACTATATTAAATAGAAAGTCCCAAATATAGTGGTCCAAGATCCATATTTCACTAAAGTTTAAGTAAGCTTTGGCTTATCACTTAAAAATTAGTTATTTAGGTAAACAACTTTTGTTAATCATATCATATATGACTCTTGGTTTGTTTGGTCAACATTATTTGATTATCCAAACACTCCTTGCTTCAAGGCCCAAAACCATTTTGATGGCCTTGTAAGTCCAAACCAATATTAAGACCCGAGAATGACGATCATTCAAAACATCTTCCTAAGATAGTGTGAAATGCTCTGCTTTGGCAGACACATATCACGACTAGCATAGTTTAAATGGTGGTCATATTGGGAAAGCAATTTAGACTTATAATTAGTCGGGACTAATAATTACACATATGCAGCAATCAAATATTTAAATAAATAATTTAAAACTAGTGCAGTGATATAGCATGATCCCAAAATCTTCATATCTCCTTGACATCTTCAACCTGTGTAGTGTACTACTACAAATCTACGGGGTTGAAAAACATTACAGGGGATAGTGGGAAACGGCACGCAGGCCGTAAAACAACAAAATATAAAACATACATTCAGATCATGCTATACCACCACTTCACGCTGTCCCTGTGACGGAGCAAAATAATTGCGCATGCACGGATTGAAAATTAAATTTTAAAATCCGCAAGTAATATGTAATTAATTCGGATCTCATCCGAAAAAATACATATTTAATGAATTCTAAAATAATTCGTATTACATATGCACAAATACAGATCATATCCGTAATATAGATTAATTCACATATATAACTACGAATAAAAATTAATGAACTAAAATTCGAAAATAATTATCTATAGATTAATTCATGATAAAATTCGAATTTCCCAAATAACGTATCCGTAATATAGATCAATTTGAATATGTTATAATATGGATCTCATCCCAACTAATTTTGTATTCTCGGATCTCATCTAATTTGGCAGAACACAAAATTTGTATAATTGAAGAATAAATTTGTAAAATTGATTCGGATCTCATCCGAAAAACAAGAAGCTAAAACTTCCAAAAATAAAATAATATTCAGAATATATTGTTCGAAATCAGATTCGAATATTATTGTGATTCAGAATAAAATAAATCAGATTCGATTTCCGAATTGAGACATGAAAAAGCCGTATTTGAAATCAATAAAAGATTGCATTTTCATGTCCAATTTCAAAAGCAAATCTAAAACTTGATACGTAGCAACTTATTAACTTTTTGATATCAAAATCAAAACCAGTCACAATACAGATCGGGAAACCACATTAGGTACGATTACAGTGCCAAAAATACGGAGTATATCGTACCTACGAAAAATAAATTTCCTAATCCAGATCTGATCTGGAAATTAATGAATGATGTCATAAAATATTCTTAACATAAATTATGAGTATCAATTTGGATCTAATTCAAACTCTTGAATTTTCATGTCCATTCAGATCTCTTCCGAATAATTAGGCTGTAGGATTTTATCCAATTCCTAATCTACTCAGATCTGATCTGTAAAAATATTATCACAAAACATTCCAAATATTATTGTGAATATATACAGGATCAAGTTCGAAATATTCGAATATCACATCCTCACAAATACTTCGGAATATAATATACACATATAAATTCCGAAATTAATAAATCAATAAATTCGAAATTAATAAAATTAATTCCAAAAATAAATCCCAAAATAATCAAATTATAGATTATACATCAAATCGTGTAACCCGAGTATAATAAAGAACCGTAGGCTCTGATACCACTGTTGGGTTTCGGGTAGAAAAACGCAGCGGAATAAACGAAAAATTTACTACCCAAAAGTAAACAATCGGATCTGAGGTTCATATTATAAACGAAATTACAAGACATAAGAGGGACTTACATAGTAATCTTAATCAAGGATGTCAGACAGTCCGAGAAAACGATCCTGAGCTCTACCGGTATCCACACGCACGTGACTGGATCGGCCGCAGGGAACGTGCTAGCGTTCTCTTCTTTCTTCCTCTCTACTCTAGGTTTGAGAAGTGAATTTTAACTCTTAAAATTCGTGGGTCTATATGGCCCTATTTATAAGAGGAGTAAAGAAGGGGTTTTATGGCTAATAAAACCCTTAAAGAGGCCCTAGCCCAATACCATTCGAAAACCTATTTCGAATTGGGCTAATCAAGCTATTTTAATGTTATTAACAAACATTAATGATCCAAATCACTTAGGTGTGTGACCCTGTAGGTTTATATATTATTGGTAGTGGGCTAGAAATTAATTCGAGCCTCACAAATCATAAGCGGCCTCTAGCAAGGCATTATGACTATCCAAAAATATATAAATGTCAATTAAATCTGACATAACCTTTTAATGATTAATTTGTGCTAACAATTCTCTTTTGTCAAACGATATCTTAATTGAGACAAGGTTAGGTCGTGTCATCCTTGTTATTCTCAATTAATATTTCTTGATTACCAAGTAAGATTAATCTTGATCAAATGACACCTCATTTGAGCATGGCCATGCTAATTAATCTTACTTGTCAAGGGGCCCAATAGATATCTTTCTCTCGATGTACAAGAGTGACAAAAACTATCTTGATAATTCACATACTACTACATGGTTCATAATATGTACAATCACCACCTTTATAATTACCCAGTTAAAGATAACATTTAATGGTGTTAATACATATTAATTCTCATGCTAGTAACCATGATTATCTCAAGTATAAGAATATAGCACCTCATCATTATTGAGGACAACACTGATGACATATAACCTAGCAGTGTCCTCAAGTTGGGTCTGTCCAATGAACTTGTTCCCTAACAAGCATCTATGTTATTAACTTGATATCTCTATACCCATGACTAGTGGAATATAGCCATCAGTTAATCCACATACTGGTCTATTAATTATTAATGTCCCAAATTAATAATATTAGACCAGGGACAATAAGAATATTATGTTTATTTTAAAGTGTAGCATTCCACAATTAAGTCACATACTTAATTAGCTACTAAACAGAATATTCAGGGACTAAATATTAATAAAGAAAACTCACAATAATAATTAACATAAAATGAGTTTGCAACTTTATTAATTAATGAGCATTAAATATTTATTGATAAATCATAAACTATGATTGTCCTAGGGCATATTTCCAACAGTTTATCCTGTATATGTGTTGATACTTCGTCACACATCAGCTGGTAATTAGGAGGACCCGCCCACATCTGAAGATTGCTCTCAATTATTGACATTCAGTGTCCTCACACTCGGAGAACGATTAAAAGGCAAATGTTAAACTGTATATGTAAATACAAATAGTTTGAAATGAACATCATTTTAATATGTATTGAAATTATATAATTGATGTAAATGGATTCACTCTTTTGCTCATCGTGAAAATCAGAGAACAGTTTGTAGTAGTTGTTCCAAAGAGTGTATCTAATGTGGTTTCCTCTCCAGAATAAGAACATTCTATTAGAAATCTATACACTTAAGTAATGACAGTCAAATTAAATAATTTCTACTCACTCGGGATCCTCCAAAGTTAATTCAATAAGTCGTTCAGGTTTTTCATCGATCACATGCGCTTGAGCTGGAGTTTTGCCCACAGACTTACCAATAACATCTATACGAATAGATTTAAGGTAAAAATCGTATATTAGACTTGACATCAAGTATCACATGTAAAATAGAAAATTATAACACCACTTTTTAGGCGTAACATCGAATATTACTGATAAGAAATTTATCGTTTATAACCCTTAGGCTTTGCAGCATATCGAATTGGTGAAAATTGTGGACAAAATTTGAAAAGGTTTCAGATCGGAGGTCAAACACTTGGTTTTTATTTATAAATTCCAGAATATAAGGGTGGGGAGTGGTTTTAGAGGTGTAGTAGTTGTCCAGAACTAAGAAATTCTTGATCCTGTAGCATCTGTTCTCCACCTGTCTAGACTTGTAAAGGGGCATCAACGATCCTTTATCACGACATGTATTTTGTCGCCTTGCATGGCCAACAATTCAAGACTTGTTAGCCTAACTGTAATGAAACAGAGTTAAACATGAATTAAATGGAAAACTGAAAATATAAACTACCTCCTCATCATGAAAAATGACCTCCACTCGTTGGCCACCTCTTGATTGTGGGGGCATCTCGTAAGCTCTGAGAACACAAAATTTTAGAGCTCATGTTGACCTAGTGTGGTCAACCTCCTTTATCAGAGTACAATTCCTCCGTTAGTTGTTTAAGTATTTTCTGTGTTTGTTGCCATGGTGGGATATGGATTCGAAGTGAGGATGAGACCCTATTTATAGGGAATTCAAAATTGTATGTGTCTTGCAATGAGGACGAAATATCCAATGTATAATAAGCTTAAACCCTCAACTATGTACCTTCATTAATGCTCAACTAGCCAAATTAATGCTCAACTACCGAGATTTAATATGTTTGGCCACAAAGGCTATTTTGAATAAGCTTTAAAGTGAAACATGTTGAGCGGAATATGTTTTCTTACAATAGGGAAACCTCACAGCATAAGTTGAATCGCAATGAACAAAATTTTAAACACAAAGAAAGTATTTCAATAGATGTGGACCCAAACCTGGCAGAACCAAACCCTAAATAGTTTGACCTGTTTTTGATCGGGCGAAATGCGCGGGAAAAGGTGCAATAATTCCACTTCGGTTTGCGTATAGTAGGATACATCAAAGTGATCTGATTTAATGCATAATAAAGTTTACCACGTTGGCATTCGACATATTAATAATAGATAGACTTGTTCGTTGAAAGAATATATGGACCCTGTCAACATCTTATATTCCTCCAATATTTAGATACTGA